GCCAGAGCCTCGCTCTGCTGTGGCAGGTGACAAAGAATTGCCTCTGAGCGATGCCAGCAGCCTGCCAGGCTGTGCCAGAGGGAATGCTTTCCTCCCCTTCTCTCACGGGTTTTCACTTCAGCAGACAGGCTCCATGTGCCTGCCAGCCCATTCCCCCAGGCCTCCTCCTCCTCCTCCTCCTTGCTGCACCACGACTGCTTGTGGGCTGGGGATCCAGAGAGGTTTCCTTCAGTGGCTTTTCATCACCATTTCTGAAGCCAGCTCTTGGTAGAGAGCTTAGGGATTTAATGCAACATAAAGAGCTTTCAAAAATGTTTTCCAGTTCTAGAATCAGATCTGTCTTTAGTTCACTCCATTCTGGAACTGGCAGTAGTTGGATTCCAGCAGGACAGGTATAGCTGCTCCTACAGGTTCCTCTGCAGCCAACAGCAAACTCCATGCTCTGCTGGAAATGTGTCAGGCTCTCCATTGCCACTGCCTGGTGCACTCCTAGACCAGCCCCAGGCTGCCCTGCAGCCCCCCCAGGGTGGCATTGTCATCTGTCCCCAGACTCCTTCCATGTCCCTGCCCTTCCTGGAGCACTGTGGGGCTGTGACCTGCATGGCAATGACAGAGGCACCAGTGGTGAGTGGCTGCTCTGAGTCCTTGGGGTTTGTGAATTCAGAGGGTATCTCACAGTCAGTCACAGGCTCTGCTACTCTCTAGGGCCTGGGAGTCCTGTGGCTTTCCCTCCTCCCTTGTGAGCAATTTATTTCCTTTACTGACAGGCAACTATTGACTTCTCATTCTCCTGAAGATGAGATGTCTTGTCTCATCAGGTTTAAATTAGTTTTATCTTTAGCCTTTCCTATTAATAGGCTCTCATCGTGGTGTCATTACTTGATATCTATTTTCTGATGTTTTTCATTAATGGCTCTATATCTTCCAGATATTTTTTCAAGTATTTTTTCCCCTGCTGCTGAGTTATTTAACAGTCAGGCACAGATCAGAGACATGAAGATGGTTTGATGCTGGTCAGAGACAGTGTGGAATGGCCCAGTGACTGTTGGGTGTGTAGGGCAGGGCTCTTGGGCTGTGGTGGGGCTGCACTGGGGCTGTCAGGGACCACCACTCTCTCCTTCCCTGTCTCTCTGCCTCCCTCTGATCCCAGGCTGAGCTCTGACACGCCTGGGGCTCTCAAGAGCACGAGTCAGTAGAGTAATTAAAATGCCTTCCATGAGGCAAAGGTGCTGCAAATCCTTTGGACAGCTGTGTCTGTGAAAAACAGAGGACTGCTTTCCATGCTTTGTGTGCCTGGCAGGGGCTCTTCCCCATGAGCAGAAACTTCCGCTAGGAAATGTAAAAGGGAATTATTTCACATTGTTTCCAGGTGGCCCCTGACTGGGGTCTCTGTTCCTGCTGGGTCAGAGCCACCTTCCCAGGCAGCCGGAGTGGGGAAGCTGCCACTGCCACCAGGAACATGGAGCAGGCAGTGCTGCCAGCACAGGCACAGGCAGGGCTGCCAGCCTGGGGACAAGCAGTGGGGACAGGCAGGGTGGCCAGCGTGGGGACAGGCAGGGTGGCCAGCCCAGCCAAGTGCCTTTGTCTATGGGGATTTTCTCATTGTGTCTTCAACAGTGTCAAGAGAAAAGCCTGTCAGTGTTGAAGGCAACCAGATCTCCTCAGTAAGACCAGGGACATTTTTTCCTTGGGCTTCATTCCCAGGAGTTGCTTGCACAGGTGAGGAGGGATGCGGGGCCAGGTCGGCCGCGTGGGGAGAGGATTAATGCAGGAACCAACCTCGTTGCCCTACATTTATTTTCTCACATTAACGAGGAGGAGAAATGTGCCCAATTTCTTGAGAGCAAACCCAGGGATGACAACAGCCTGATGCACAGTGACATGTTCAATGGAGCTGTCAGGGTGCTCAGGGATGCTGCTGGGGGGGTGTTTGCTACCTGCAGAGTCTGGTCACTGTGGGGATCCCACGTGTCCCACATGTGGGAATTACAGAGAGGCTGCAGGACCAACGATTTGCAGCAGCGCCTCCAGCACAGGGCTGAGGGTGATTAATATTCAGTGCACTGCCATGAAAATGAACAGCCAGACAGGACTGTCCTCCTCCCCTTCCTGCATCCATGAGGACAGCGAGGGGAATGTCTGGAGCATGGGAACAGAGACAAGATTTGCTTTTGGTCAGGCTGATACAGGATTTTGAGACTAAACAAGATACTTCATTCTCTTTTGCGTTATTTAGTGTCTTTCAATCTGTTTCTTCTTTTTTAATGTCATCTTTCTGTTATTTAATTACAGGAAGTTTAAAAAAGAATAGTAGGAGGCCTTGGTTGAAGCTATGAGAACCAAACAGGAGGCATTTGCAAAAACAGTTTCTCTTTAAAAAGGGGAAATGTTCTGGTTTTCTTTTCATTAAAAAAATTCTTCCCATAATTTCTTATCAAAATTCTGGTGAAAAACCCTTTTACTGTTGGCAGGAAAGCTTTCCCCATCCCATGTTCAGCGTGGCAGAAGCAGTGGCAACATTAACAGCACCCGGGATGCTCTGGACAGTGGACAGATGCCCCAGGACTTGGGGGACAAAACTCCCACAGCTGGTGACATCCTCAGTGCTCGTCCTGCCCCACCACTGCTCCTTGCCTGCCATCTGCCCTGCCCGGGGATGGCTCCTCCATCCTCTACCGTCTTCCTGGGGATCCTTTCTTCCCGTGTTGGGTGGAGAAGTTTGAAATAGGCTCAGACCAGCTGATCCTGTGTCCTTCCAGCAGTGGGCTGAGCTGAGGCTAGGTGCTCTCATCCACCAAAGCAGCTGACAACAGAGAAAAGCGGAGCCACAGGCACAGCCAAGGCCACTGTTTGCCTTCAGGGCTTTGGTTCTGCACTGACCTGGGCCAAGGCAAACCCTGGCTGGTGGCCCCAACCCTCAGGTTGTTGTTCTATTGTGCAACCAGCAGCAGGGAGCTTGGGGTGGCTGCTGCAAAATGATCCCTGTGGGCAAACACAGCTTGGAGTGCTCTGGGCAGGAGAGCTGGCACCACTCGGAGCTCTGCTTGCACAGGCACTACCAGCCCCGAGCCAGGCTCCAGCCATGGGGCTCTGTCACAGGTCCCTGCAACACCCATTCCACCAGCCCTTCCACATATCCCAGCCACTGCAGGGGAACCTAGTGGGGTTAAAGGAACCTCCAGGTGCCCCTAGCCCCAGAAAAAAAACCCATCTCTGCCCTTGCAACCAGGACTTGCAGAGATCTGGGGTGTTCCAGAGTCACCTGTCCTGGCACACTGGGGCCAGGTAGTGCCAGCAACAGGGACATCTCCTGTTGCAGGCACCATTTGTTATTAATGTTGGTGGGTCAGGCTGGTGTGGGTGCTGCCACTGGCTCTGCAGGTCTCACCATGACTGTTGGCTGCTCAGCCCTCGCTCTGTGGCAGCGGAGGTGGGATCCAGCCCAATGGCACAGCAGCACCTGGAAGGGTTTGGTGTTTGGCATTTTGTCTCTAAGGTTACTGAGGGAACATTTACACCTCTCTTTGCAATCATTCACAGCCAGTAAGCCTGGGATGGGAGCTGGCACGTTCCTTCATCCTCGTCCTTCTGTTTCCTTAGGAACTGGAAACCAAAGGTGCCCAACGATGCGTTACGGATTCAATCGCTTGGGCCAAGGCACTGCCACTCCTCCTGTCCTCGCTCTCACAGCCATCAAAGGGCACCCAGAATCTGCTCTTCATCTTTGTGCTCTGAGCACATGCAGCTCATTGGCGTCAAGATCCATTTCCTGGAGTCCCCAGCGTGTTGTGTTGGTGTTACTGCAGCCAGAGTGAAAGGCAGGGGGATGCAATGGGTGCAGCCCAGACATGCCTAATGACCACATCTCCTAATGACCACATCTCCTAATGACCACATCTCAGTAGTGTTGCCACCTCTGTGATTAACTGGCAGGGTGGGGCTGATGTCGGGCTGGTTGGGGTATCAGGGTGTCTCTTGGTCACAGGCTGCCATGGTGAGGTAAAGGGAGTGAGGAGCAGCAGGAGAGGCTGGGCCGAGGTTCCAGAGCACTGGCGACACCTCAGTCACCCCATCACCTTGGGAAAAGAGTGGTGGGAACCTCCAAGGTTTTTAGAGGAACGTTTAGCTGCAAGCAGGAGCCCTGACCATGGGAATGAGGCACCAGGACTCCCCTGCGCCCATGGGATGGGGGTCTGGGCAGGACCATGATGGGCAGAGGCAGAGAAGGGTGTTGGTGCTGCCCACCAGGGATGCCAGAAGGGCCAGTGTGGGCGCTGGGAAGTGGCTGGTCACACATGGTGCTGTGCCAGTGGATCCAGAGGCTGCAGGGCTCAGGAATCTGGCCCTGGCCCCACCAGCTCTCGCCGTGCAGCCATTCTGCTCTGGGGCTGTGGCACAGCCAGCCCCAGGATGAGGTTTGATGCCACTGCAGCTGGGGGTGAGCTCCTGTGCCTGAGAGCTTGCAGGCTACTACCACCTGCTCACCCCGGAGTCCTGGGGGTCCCAGCCCCAGCCCGGCAGGGACCTGCCTCGATGGGGCACCAGGGATGTGTTTGTTCATGTTGAACAGCTCCCAGCTCTCTGGCAACAGGTGGGAGCAGGAACAGGCATTGAAAGAACCAGCAGCTCAGGGACAGGGGCAGAATAAATCTGCATAAATACAAATGAGGGGAATATTATTTCCCACATTGACCACATTTCTGTAGCTACTTTAAGCTGTGAGAGGGGGGCTTCAGCAGCCTGAGCAGGGTTTGGGCTCGACTCAGGCCTGGCTCTGGGGCTGGAGCCGCTTGTGATTCCCCACCTTCCCAGCAGACTCACCTATTCAATATTCCTCACATGCGAGTTACTCCTGTAGCTGATGGGAGAGATAAATAACAAAACCCTCACAAATGCAAAAATCCTTTGGCAGTTTGGAAAGGAACCAAGTCACGTGCTGAATGCAGACGAAGAAAAATCCTTTTTATTGTAAGGAGTAACAGAAGGGTGTGAATCAGCCTCAAATCCACCTCACCCACAATGCAGCACATCCAAATCCACTCGGAGATTACAAGGCAGGATAGCGCTCACTCTGATCAGTTCAAAGCGTCGCTGTTTGGGAACAAATCGGCTGAGTGTGTGCCTGGATTAGACTGGGGGCCTTTTTGCCTCTTGAAATCACTGGAAACAGCAAAATTCCCTTTTGAAATGGTAAGCTAATCAAGAAGCAGAAGGAGAGCAAAGACAAAGCATTTACAGCTTTTGGGTTCGGGTTCATCCCTTTTCTCCCTTCCCTTCTCAGGGGTTTGGTGCAGTTGGTGCAAAATCCTGAAATTCCTGAGGGGTGGCTGTGAGGGGACCAAACCCCTGCCTTCAGCCCAGCTGTCTGCTTCCAGCACCTGGAATATCCCCTCTGTGCTGAGCCATTACCTGGCCCAAACCCCAGCCCCAGTGAAGCTGGGGTGGGCGTGAGGAAGAAACAAGGGGTGAAGGTGTTCCCTTCATCAGTGAGTGCCATAACAAGTGGCTTGTGGCCGTGAGAACCAGGAGAGCACAGAGGCAAGATCTGGGGCTCCTGCCTCTGTAGTCACCAGCATGGCTAACCACCCACACAGCTAACCACTGACATGGCTGATCATTGGCACAGATAACCCTGGGCTGTAAAAAGACACCAAAATCTGAGAAGTCTGAAATGTAAAGCAGACGAAAATGCGAGGTTTTGCTGGGTTTTCTCCACTTTCATGTCTATTCTCCAGGTATCGAGTCATCTTCCTCCCTTCCCTCCTCTTCCTCCTCAGGAATCGCCTGTGGAGGCACCTGGAGGGATGAGGTTTTTAGACAGCCCTGTGCTCTCCCCGTCACCTCCTGCTAACAGGCAGCAGGGTCAGGACTCATCCCACCCAGACCAGGCACCGGTGCTGGCACAACTGGCAGCAGAGCTCTGAGCCAGGTCCCCAGGCAGCAAATCCTCCTTACCCCACGTACTTCCAGCCTGTGGCTATGGATTGCTCCCGGGATCGACACCTGCGACTGGGGGAGAGACACCCAGGTCAGACTGGGGGAGAGACACCCAGGTCAGTGCATTCCCTCCTCCAGGCCCCCCCAGCCCCACGGTCCCCTGGCAGCCCCCACTGCTGGGCCGGGCTTGGCAGTGTCCCATGTGCCAGTGGCCCAAGAGCCCCCGGCTTTATGGGCAGAGATGATTTAGTGCCCTGAGGAATATGGCTCTGGAGAAGCTGGGACGGCTTCCAACTCTTCCTTCCCTCCCCTGTATATTAACTTTCCATGCATATGAAGCTGAAAGCTCTTCCAATCACCTCTGCAAATATTAATTAATCCTCGCAGCATCCTGAGGACCATTATTCACTCCTATTAAGCAAATATTATTAAATCCTTTTATAAGAGGTGAAGTGACTTTTCTAGGGCTGTGCAGGGCATAAGTAGGAGCGCACAGACTTTGTGTAGGAGCCACTGCTGCAGAATGGCAAAGCTGCTCACACCTGAGCTGGGGGGATGTCTCTGAGGACCAGGCACTCCAACCACCCCCAGCACTGCTGTGCCATGCGGGGTACAAGTGCTCTGTGGGACTCTTCCAAGGTGAGTTGGCAGCTCTGGCTGCACCCCAGAACCATGAGGACCCCCTTCCCACTCTTAGCCACTACCCAGTATAGTGTCCCCCTTTCAGCTGCCCTGTTCTGGCTCACAGACACCACTGGGGATCCCCATAGTGGCACTGGAGACAGACTCACTCTGGAGGAGCCAGTCGATGAAGGTGCTTGGGAATGGGGAATTCTGCAAAGAACAAGGAGGCGTTAGAATGTGTGAATGTGGAGGGAGGGCAGCAGTGCAGGGACATGGGATGGGACACAGGATGGGACACAGCTGTACCTGCAGATCCAGCTCCACGAAATGCCCAGACGTCACCGGCAGTTTGGAGAGGGCAGAGTACATTTTCCCCAGGAGCCCGAAGGAGACGACGCCTGGGGACAGGGAGAGGCCATCAGGGCTGGGCAGAGCTGGCTGTGGGTCCCAGAGCCTGCCGGCGCCCTCTGCCCGCAGCGTCTGGCAGAGGCTGGGAGAATATCGTCCTGCCCACCACGGAGTAAAACCCCTCGTCCTTCCTGTGGATCTCAAACCTCCCGGGGTTCAAAGGTTCCCATGAAAGCTGCTGCCCAGGAACTTCCAGATGCATGTCCCATCACAGGGGAAATGTTGGGGGTAAATGGGGACAGCTCTGCTTGCAGTGAAGCAGCAATCATGTCTGTGTGAGATTTGACAGGAACAGATCTGGGGAAGGAAAACCCCACAGGTTCTGCAGGGCTGCAGTGGAGGGTCCTGGCAGAGCCACCTCTTGGCAGCAGCTTGAGTCTGTCCCTGGTGGGACAAACACCCATGAGAAGAGCAGGACTGTGGTGTCTGGCAGTGGCAGTGAGCCAGGACTGTGCCACATACAGTGGCTTTGCTGGTGGATCAAAGCTGCTCCTGCTCCATGCAGAGAGACTCCTGCTCCCATGAATTCAGCTCTCCTCGGGACTCCTGCTGCCCGTGCAGGTGGTTGGACACACAAAACTCAAGTGTCACTCAATATAGAAAAGAAAACGACTTACGGTTGAGGAATTGTAGTTTCATGTTGATGATGCCGACCCAGATGTTCACTAATGGGCAGAGCTGCAACGACAAGTGGCACAGCCCTGGTGAGAACACCGTGGGTGCAGCAGCACGTTCTCCAGCACGGCTTGAGTTTCACAGACTTAAATCAGGATGTAATAATAGGCTCCTAGAGCACAGTTCCTCCATGGAAGAAGAGCCATATGACTTGTTCAGCCCTCTTCTTAAAACAGCACAGGTTCTACTGAACAGGACAAGAGATTCTCTAACAGGCCCCTTTGCTCCAAGTGGGGTTGTCACTTCTGCTCATCTCCCCCCAGGGAGCACCCGAGTACAAATTATCCCATAACATTGCATGATGGAATTGAAATTACTCCTAACAAATAAATTCTGACTGTAAGGAAGATCAAGGAATTTTGTGGAATTCACTTATGGGCTGCAGGCATAAATATATATTGTATATATATTGTGTATATATATCATCCCTGACCGCGGGAGGGGGGTTGGTATAACTGATCTTTAAGGTCCTTTCCAACCTAAGCTGTTCTGCGATCCTCTGTGTGTGTGTGTGTGTGTGTGTGTGTGTAAATCTTCCAGAGAGTTCTGGCAGGAGCACTGATTGCAGCTGAAATGCATCTTCACAGCAAAGAACATTCAGACACTCACCAGTGCAGGGACAAGGGTCTTGAGAGTAGAGTTCAGCACGCTGCTCACCAGGTTGGTGAGGAGGCTGGGGAGGGAAAGGACACACAAAAATTACCAGGGAAGTTGTCAAAACCTAGGACTTCACATCAAGACAAAACAGCAGCTGTGGAGGAGGAGCCCCTCTCGTCTTGTCTCCTCTTATATTAAAAGATGCCGCAAGCCCACAGCTCCCCCAGGCTTTAGCAGGAATTGCAGATGGTTATCTGAATCCCATAATCTGGTTGTTATGGTGTCAGTCCGTGACACTGAAGTTCTGCCCCACTGCAAACTTGCAGGAGCTCACCCACACACTCACCCCTTCCGCAGGTTGACGCTGAAGCCGCCAAGCAGGTTCTTGCAATCCTTAATCACCAGCTTGAGGTCCCCGGGGGTGTCCTGGGTCACGGCGATGTGTGACGTGATGTTCGTTTCTACCGAGGATTCACTCAGGAAGCTAAAAATCCTGGAAAAAAGGGGAGTAGCGTGGAGGGTTATGGGGGAAACAGAAGCAGCACAGGAGCTGCAACACAGGCTCGGCTGGTACAGTGCTTTAGTCTTGGGACTTCTCTCTGGTTCCTGGTCCTGTAGCAGATCACAGAATCATAGAATCATTAAGGTTGGAAAACACCTCTAGATCACCAAGTCCAACCATCAACCCAGCACCACCACCATGTTCACCACTAAACATGTCGTCTGGTGCCATATCCACAGATTTTTTGAACGCTTCAGGGATGGCAATAGCACCTTTGGAGTAAGGACAGCTGGAAATGGCTGCAGGGAGAGGCAGCAGTACAGCTCAGAGTTTTCCTCACCAGCCCATTTGCTCAGCACGTGGGGATGTTTCTCCAGCAGCAGGGAGTGTCCCATCCTCCCCAGTGCCCTCAGGCCCCCATGGCCTCTCTCTCCAGCACTGCTCACCCTGGAAAGCGGAGCACCAGCTTCGAGTACAGGTTCAGCACCAGCTCAGTCCCACGAAGGACCTTCCATGACACTCGGGCGTTCTCGAGGTTCAGCACCTTCAACCTGGGGGTAAACACCGAATCAAACCCACCTTGAGATGGCAGGATCAGCAGAAGAAGACCCTACAGTCCCATCTCTTCCTGCTCATCGTTTGACCTGTTACCCATTTGGATATTCCCAGGTAAAAGTGAAGGTGGGGAAGGACCAACCCCTGCTCCAAGAAAAGCCAATCTCAAAGCAGGGTCAGGTTTCTCAGGGCTGTGTCCTGCTTGCAATCAACCACCTCTGAGGATGGAGATGCCCCCACCTCCCAGATTGCCCATTGCAGTGTCACAGCACTGCCGTGGGGAAGACTTTTCCCATTTCTGGTTGGAATTTCCCCTGTCACAGATCCTCGTGTGAGCCCAGAACTGGTGGTTTGTATGACAGGGAGGGTCTGATCCCCTGGACACTATTGGTCACCTTGCAGTGAGCCCCACCATGGGGCTTCTGACTCACCAGGCATAGCGTGATATCTTCTGAGAGGTTCTACCACCCAGCAGGCCTCCTGCACCCAGAAGACCATCAAGACCAAGTAGACTTCCGTTGCCTAGGAGACCTCCTTTCCCAAGCAGCCCTGTGCCAAGCAGACCTTTATCTCCAAGAAGGCTGTTATTGCCGAGGAGGCCATTGCCAAGGAGACCATTGCCAAGGCCTTCCCCACCAAGGATGCCTGTGCCAAGTCCTTCTCCACCAAGGATGCCTGTGCCAAGTCCTTCTCCACCAAGGATGCCTGTGCCAAGTCCCTCTCCACCAAGGATGCCTGTGCCAAGGCCTTTCCCACCGAGGATGCCTGTGCCAGGCAGACCGCTGCTGCCAGGTTGTCCTCCTGCAACAGTCAGAACTCTGTTACTGTCCTGGCCATCACTGCCCAGAAACCCTCCTCTTCCAAGCACGCCCGTGCCAAGCAGACCTTCCTCACCTAGGAGGCCTGTGCCAAGGACCCCAGATCTGCTGGGTTCACTTTCTGCTTCAAGTGGACCTCTGCTTTCTGCTTCACTTGCACTTCCCTTGCCCAGGAGGCCGGTGCCAAGCAGCCCACCTTCACCAGGAACACCAGTGCCAGGCAATCCGCCTTTTCCACCAAGGAGACCAAGCAGACCTGCACCAGGGGAGTCCCAGTTACTAATCAGACTTCCACCACTGGGAAGATTCCTTTGACAAGAAAGGTTGATTTGGCCACGTTAGGTTGCTCTGCTGGTGAGATCTCATAGGGACCTCTGAGCATCCTTGAGCAAAGCTGGGTTCCCCACAGAGATGATCCTGCCAGGAAGCATCTCCTTGATGACCAGAGGGACACGCCATGAGCCTAAAATGGCACAGGACTGTGTCACGACCCTGCCCTGGAAACACAGAAAATATCTGAACTCACCACTTGTGGCTTGCTTTGGGTTCAGCAGGTTGAGGAAGCCCTGGGAGGAGGGCAGGAAGCCCACGAGAAGGATGAGACACCAGAAGTGTGGCATCTCCTGACCAAGCATCTGTGGAAAGACCCACATCAGCCCAAGCACCAGTTCCAGCACATGGGTACAGGCAGTTTGGGTACTGGTACAGCTCCCCATCCTTCACATGCACTGCCCTGGGGTGATGGGGGAGGTTCCTCCTGGACATACAGCTTCCAGAAACCACACCCCCCCCCAGATCCCAGGGGATCAGTCCAGGCCTGCAGCACCTTCTTCCCACCCAGAAAGGTTGAACCATTACTGGTTAGCAGAGAGTAGCTGGAGCCCAGTGCTGCACTGCTCCAGAACCATCCATGTCTGGGCTCCCACATTGCAGAGTTGGGTGGCTGATACTGCAGGGAAGTGAAAATGCCATTTTAAGAGAGGAAGAGGGATGGAGATGAGGGACGAGGACCTTGTATTGAGAGAGATAGATGGCTTCCCACCGCTCCAAAATGGTCCTGAAAGCAGAACTCTCAGAGGGGCACGGCCGGGTAAAAAATGATGAGCATCTCAGCAGTGTCCTTCTGCCCACTGTGAAGAGCACCCTGAGTTATTAAAGCCCAAAGCACAGCCAGAATCAGACTCACTTTCCTGTGGGCAGATTGTTTGTTTTTCTCATCTTGCTTCACTCAGGCAGTGAGAAGAGCCCGTTTTCCCTGTGTTTGATCTGCCCCGAGCCAAAGAACGCACCTTCAAGGACCTCCTGTTCCTGCCCAAACTCGGTTTCTCGGGGTGACAGTGCAGGCTGGAAAGTGTTTGTTTATGCACGGAAAGGTGTTTGCAAAGAAAGGAGAAGAGGCTCCTGCTGCAGTGCTGCCCTGGGTCCCAGCTCCAGGAGCACCTGCCTTCACAGCCTGTGCCCCAGATGGAAACCCCGCCTCGTCCCTCCTGAGGAAAAAAAGGTACGAGGTGCAGATTGCAGAGGTTCAGCACTGAGAAATAACATTATTTAGGTCAGACTGAACAACTCCTTTGTTTCTTCCAGATACTTTTAAAAAATCCCTCTATGACAGTTCTAGGCACAATTAAATTAGACTTTAATTCACTCGACTGTCTTTTACATTTTCCCTTTGATCAGCACGTAATGATGCACAGCTCCTGTAGCCACGATTATTGAACAGGAGAGAAGGAGAGAGGCTCGAGCAGCTCCTATTGAAAATCGTGTCAAATAAAATCAGTGGGATTTGTTGGAGGGGTTCTGCGAGACGTGCACAGCATTGCAAAAGGGTGCCAAAATGGATGTCAGGGCTCTTAGAAGAGCTCTTAGAGAGAATACGTGACCAAGCAGGCAGCTATCTCTGCGGTTATTAGCAATATCTGTCGGGGTGCTGCTCCTCGGTCACACACATTTCAGTGAGCTGAGCATCTTGCACGTGCAAAAGGCACGTCTGGCTTTGCAGATAAACACTTATTTTACACCAGCTGAGACGAGGTCTGGAAAGCTGAAAATTGCTCTGAATTCTGGTCACCGAGATCATGAAAAAACTCCCAGTCCTTTTCTGCCAGCTTAGTCATTATCACAAACTTAACAACAACAGGAATAAACGTGGAGTTTAACAAGGAAGATCTCTGCTAGCTTTAAATATTAATTTTCATAAATGATTAAATGCTGCTACAGAAATCAAAGGAAAACATCATTAAAATTCTTGCTTTTCAAGCCGAGTTACACTGAGCTGTGGGTTGCCTGATGGAGCTGGCACGGTGGCCACGGTCCTTCAGTGCCACTTACCTGGACCCTTTGATGTCACAGTGGAGCTGCCCATGGTCACAGCTGCTGGCAGTGGCTTTTATATACCCGACGTGAGGAATGAGGAAAGCCCAGGGAAGGATGGAGCAGGGACATTTCCTCTTTGCTGGCTGTGAAGTGTGACTTCCCTGAAATCACAGGGAAAGGAAACACAGGTCAAAATGTTTGCAATATTTGCCTTTACGGTTAACTTCATATTCCCTCGGTGCGAAATGGCTGCATGCATGGCCCCGCCAAGTCAGGCCCGTGACACTTCCTTCTCCAGCACTCATGAAACCCAAACCCTGCTGCGCTCTCCCATGACAGTGGTGAGAGCAGGGCACAGAGCCAGGACCTCTGCCAACTTCCACAGCTCACCTTGGAGCCCCCTGTTCAGGGGTACACAGCCCAAGGAGTCCCTCCTGAACCCAAGGGAAATATCCCAACCCCTGTGCATAGAGGGAAGGAGAAGATGCAGGACTCACGTTCAAGTTCACCTCAAGGAACTGGCCTGTTAGCAGGGGAAGGCTGAACACAGTGTACTGGATGCTGCCCAGCAAACCCAGGGGCACCAGTGCTGGGGACAGAGGAAGGGAGTGTCTGTGTTTCCCTGTTGGACTCAGCTGCAAATCCTCCCTTCATTGCCCGGCAGCTCCTTTTCTTCCAGAAGAGCCAGGGAGATGCTGGAGGTCCCTGCTCCTGGCATGGGGCAGATCTGGGGTCAGGGTGAAGCGAGGGGTTTGCTCTTTCCCCCCAAGGTGCAGTGGCAGAGCAAAGGGTGTCCCAGTCCTCCCGCAGTTGGAGCCGAGGTGACACGCGGTGCAGGGCAGTGACAAGACGTGGGACCCATCATGTCCTTACAGTTCACAAGTTCCAGCTGGTCACTGACAAGTCCCAGGGTGATGTCAACCACCAGGTAGAGCTGCAGGAGTCAGGATGGGCTGGTGAGAACCCGTGTTCAGAGCCAAAGAAGGACACGCAGCCCCGCCTGGCTCTGCAGGGAGCACCAGGCACATGGGATGGCAGCTCCAACGGGGACTCCACCAGCTCTGGGTGTGTCCCTGGGCATCTTGCCCTCCCTCAGAGAAGTGGAGTTGGGATTGGGGCCCAGGAGCCCATGGGGGATGGCTAGAAAGACCCTGTGGCTTTCAGAAGGGAGGAGAGACTCCATTAGTCTGCAACACGGTCCAGAGCACCGTTAGGAACTCCCAGCACTTGGGCAGACCTCGTGTTGAGAAGGAGGAAAAAGCTTCTCCCAAGCTGCTGGAGACATGGTATGTGTCCCCCACTAATCCCAAGCCACTGGGTGGGTGGATGCAGCAGCCCTGGAACACTGACTGTGCTCCTGCTCTGAGCACCAGCGATGCCATGGGGAGCTGCACTGCAGCTTTTCAAACTCATCACTCCTTCCCAGAATAGGTTTTTTTTCTGATTTACCAGATTAGGAAGAAGTCTGTTCAGGACGCTTGCCAATAAATTATCCACAATTGGGAGCAGGCTGTGGAAAAATAAAGGAGCACCATGAAAACAACCTGCTGCAAAGTAAATGGGTCTTGTTAAACAATTCCCTATGAATAGCGCCGAGCACAGACCTCCCGGAGCAAGGCAATTGCAGCAGCAAAGTGAATCGTTTCTGCTTGGATTTTGCATGAGATAACTGTAATTTGCATCCCAAAATAGCCAGTGGGAAATTTATTGCTGCCTTTTATCTACTAGTGCATAGTCTCCTTAAATGAGCAGAAACAACCTCAGCCCGAGTGGCTCCTACAATGTACACACCACGTGCTCACGTCTCAGGAGACCCCACACCATGTCAGTTAAAATGACCTGTGTACATGGCACATGGGACAGAACTGTCCCACAGGACTTCTGGGAGAGCACATCTGTTCTCTGTGGTTGTGTGAGGGGCACACAGAGACCATCACCACCAGCCCGTTGTTCAGCCCCGTGACATGGCCAGTGAGTGGCCGTCACCTGCAGGGATGGTGGGATGGAGATGTATAACAGGGAAATGCCTTCATGTGTTTGCCATTCTCAGGGTGGGGCTGGCAGAGCTTGTGGCAGCAGAGGAGGACACCACCATCACTCACCCGCTCAGGAGTCTGATTTTAATGCCACTGAGGAGCGTGTCACATCTCTCTGTCACCAGTTCGGGGTAGCCCATGCCATCCATGGTCAGCCTGACCCTTGCTGTGATGTTCACCTCCACAGTGATCTCAAGCAAACTCGAGAGGCTACACAGGGAGAAGGGAGTGACCTTCAGAGCAACAGCCTCTTCTCGAGGGACAGGAACAGTGTTCCCCCCTGAGACACCCTCCGGGAAGGTTCTTCCCCTGGTCCCAGCACATGGTTGGCACTGCCACCAGCAGCTCCACCCCCAGCCCGACCCACCTCTTGCCATTGAGGGCCACTCGGGTGTAGAGGTTGAGGTTGGCACCAATGCCAGGCAGGAGCCTCAGGGACACCCTGGGCAGCGTCTCCTCCACGATCCTCAGCCTGCAGGGACAGCGAGGGGGACACTGCGAGTGACAGCCCTGAGCCCGGCACAAACCAGCCCGGCTCCACTGCTCACACACAGCCACGCTGAGGAGGTGGGCGAGTCAGAGACCAGTTAGACCAGAAACGGCAAAAGATACCGAGTTTTCTCAGTTATTTCCCTGTTTTAGTTATTTTCCAGTTTTATCAGAAGCTTGGTTCTTTTGCTTTATCGTTTTTTTCTGCTTCTGCTGGGCTTCAAAGCAGAGTTAATCGTGTGGGCTGCAGACGGGAGTGTTGGCTCGGCAGCAGCCACCAGCGCGCAGCTCGTGCACCCTCTATGGGCAAACACCTCCGTGCTGCCGCCTCCCCTGCCCTTCCCTGGGCAGCTCAGGAGGCTCCCTTGCGGTGCAAACCTGCAGGATTCCCAGGCAGCTTTTATCTCGTTTTTCTCAAAGCATCAGCTCCAAACCAGACCTGAGCATCTACCGAAGCACCACCACTGCTCCCCCAAAACAGCACTGAGATGTTCCCCCTGAAAGGCACCCGGACGGTGCTGTCCTTACCTGGTGAGCCCCTGGATGGTGCTGAGCAAGCCACCTTCCCTGAGGATGCTGAGCAGGCTGCTGCCTCCCAGCAGCCCTGTTTCCCAGGAGCCCTGCTCTGCCAAGAAGGCCACCAGAGCCACTGAGGATCCCTGCTGTGCCGAGGAGACCTCCGTTGCCAAGTAGACCTCCTGGTCCCTGAGCTCTTCCAGCAACCCCCACAGGGCTGCCATCCCTGGGGAAATTGCCACCAGCTGCTGGCCAGCCTCTGGGAGGGTTTCTGGGACCCCCACCATAAGCACCTCCACCACTCCCTGCACCCAGCAAGCCACCACCAGCATCACCCCCTCCACCAATCAGGCCACCAGCCAGTCCTCCCAGCAGCCCTTCACCACCACCACCCAGCAGACCACCAGTAATACCACCAAGCAGACCATCACCACCACCAAGGACACCTCCTATGAGGCCACCCAGCAGGTCCCCACTTCCATCAGTGCTGGGATATCCATTTTGGAGTGGCACCTCTCCCAGGACACCTCGGAGGACTTGTTCTTGACCGAGGGAGCCTATAAGAGCTGGACACATCACTTGCCATCAGACCCTGCACAGAGCTTTCTCTTTTTAGGGGTCTGGCCAGTTGAAATTTTAATTACATGATTTTCACATAAGTTTCATACATTCCAATATAAGTAAAGATTTTTAAGCCAGGGAAAAGCATTGAGCAACAGGTTATTGGACACCCAGTATCAGGCAGCACTGTTACCCCAGAGTCCAGGGCTAAAGGGAAGGAAAAGGAGCCCAAGATTCTGTGGCTGTAACAGTGAGGCTGTGCTGATCTGAAAGAGTCATGCTGGGAAATCAGCTTATTCCAGAGAAATCCCTGTTGGCACTTGCACACCAGCTGGCACACACAGGTTACCGTATCAGGGGGAATTTTTTAATTTTCCAGCAAGCACATGAGGAGCCTTCAGAAAAGTGCCAGGAGATTTTTCTCTCCTTTAGTGCTTGAAGAACCTCGAGGAGTGGTTCCTGAGGATTGCCCCACCCACCCTGCAGCTGCCAGCTCCTTCCCAGCAGACAGTACTTCCACAGCCTCCAAAAAGTCCCTGTGCTGGGACACCTCCCTGGCCACTCCAGGCTATAAGGGCCCTTTTGTCCAGGTGCCCTCAACACTTAATACCTTTGTGAGATCAAATGTGCTTTTTTGGGCAACCTAGTGCATCTTACACAACCAGGGGATAGTATGCCTCTAAACAAAGGAGGTGTGAGCTCAGGTTACCCATGCCTGGTTCCGGACAGAGCCTTGCACAACAAGCACCATCCCACCACGTGGGATCTGCTGCCAGCAAGCTGCTGGCCAGGAACTGCTCCCTGCAGCGGCTGGAACAAGGGCTCCAAAGGAGTGGGAGATGTCAGCAGGAGCTTTGCTATATCTGTGCCAGTGCTGCATGGCAAGCCCCTCTCTGCCCTCCATCAGTCAGGCACAAATGGGCTGCAGCAGGGCACCAACCACCACCAAACCCAGTGGCCCTGTGAGTGGCTGTTTCACACCTGGTGTCACAGGCTGAGCTTCAGAAATGCTCTCTGAATGTACCAGTTTCTTGAATGTAGGTGCAGCCTCCTCACTTTGCTGTGCCACCCCTCCGTGGGCCATGTGGCAGAGGGACACAGCGCAAACGGGTGCTGGCAGCCAGAACTCGTATAAATAAATATCCAGAAAGGGAAATACTGAGGCAATGAGAGATTTTTATTGAAAGAGCAATACAAGAGTAATCTTTCTGCCTAAGGAATAGCTGTGGATGTTAAAAGGGGCCCTAGAAACACCCTAACATCCACCAGCAGAGCAGCTTTCCCACCCCGATACCAGCCAGAGGCAATCGCCGGCCTTGCTCAGGCCACAGCCACAGCACAGGGCAGTGCTTCAGGGAAAGGAAGAGGGAGAGAGTGGAGCAAGGCTTGGGGTGCACAGTGTGCTGCCTCAGAAAGGGAGCAGCATCGAGGCTCCTCTCGAGCAGTATCCTTCAAGAGTGGTCTGGCCAGGAAGCTCGTCCGCCTGGAAGAGGCAGCACAAAAACTACTCAGTTTTCTCATTCAGACTTTTACCTGTGTTTTCCTATATCCCCAGGTGAGGTTTTTCTGTGGGTCCACACCAGCAGAGGGACCTCCTGGACGCTGGGAGCAGCCCATGGGAAATGGGGTTGGCTGGAGTAGTGTGGGGCTGTGGGATCTGCAGGTCCCAAACCCTGGGTGGGCACATCCCCACTCCCCGGGACACGGCGTGGTGGGAAATGCAATCCTTACATCAGTGATGGTGACTTCAGCGTTCCTGAGGTTGGTGTTGAGGACGTTGGGCAGAGGGACCGACACATGGAAGGCGTCTGCAAAAATAGGTGAAAGCATCTTGTCACAGGGAGGAAACCCTGAACACAGGCAGCAAGGGGAGGGGTAGAGCCCCAAATCTGTCTGAGTCTGAGATAAGAGGGGACCCCACCCCACCATACCATTAACACCAGGTACATATGTAGCCATGAGGATCTGCTTCAGCCATTCCGTGAGCGAGGGGACCTGCAGGGAAGAAGGTGTGTCAGCAGCAGAAGAGAGCAATGGTTAATGAGGTTAGGGTTATCAATTGAGTTCTACTCAGTTTGCTATGGAACACAGATGCTGGGAAGCTTCCTTCAGTGAAACCCCTCCAGGACTGAGGTGGGATCTGCAGGGACATGCTTTTGGGGTTATTTCTTCTTGGTTATTCCTCTCCCCTTCCCAGCACCCCCACTGTGCTGCCACAAAGTGAGGAGAGATGCAAGTGTCATCGCTGTAGGGCACGGGGGATTGGCAGGGCAGAGAGTAATTGGCCTCTACCAGAGGAAGAAGAAAGGTGAAGACTGAAGAAGAATAGGCTTTTGGGTTTTCCTCTCATACACAGACTCCCTGGCCATTGCATCAATCCCTGCAGCACCTCAATCCAGTGCAAGCACTTACGGCGGACGGGTTGAGTGATGGGGGGGACCGTGTCACCTTGATGCTACAAAAGATAAAAACAAGGCAGAGTTGGGGTGCATCAGCTGCAGCCTCCTCCTCCAGACCCTTTCTTGGTCTGGAATTTGTCTCACCCTCATAAAGATACAGGATTTTGAAAATAGAGCCTTTTTTACAACTGTCTCATGACTTCAGCCATGCACTTGGTCTGAGTTTGGGGCTGGGAGGCAGCAGGAAGGCTCTGGCAGCCTAACGTGGCATCTCTACCATGTCTACATCACAGTCCCCCATCACTGCCACCAGCCCCATTTGTTGGTCCCCAGGCAGAGCCCTGCCACCTGCAGAGCTTGTCTCTACCTGTCAAGAGCCAGGGAGGTTTGCAGTTTGCCGTCAGAGACCGATGGGGTGATGTTCAGAACAATGTCCTGAAAATGGAACAATGAAAGAAATGAGGTTATTCCCCTGCACAGCTCCCAAGACTGAAAAGTGTATTTGTAAATTACTCATTCTAAGAAAAAACACTTGTCTGTGCCTAGAAGCCACATTTTTGTGACGGATGGCATCATGTATCTCTCTCCCCAGGGTTCACCTTCCTGTCTTTATATTGAGTTGTTCCTGAAACATTTTACTTACACTTTGTGCTTGGTTACGAGCGTATTTAAAGGACTGAGCACCACCGTTTTGACGATGCAGTAAATTCAAAAGTACAAATACTGCAGAGCCAAGGGCAGGACAAGCCAAGGAGATGCCAGCGGGCAGCCAGCCTCAGCCATTGCCCTGTTCTGGGGATCTCATCCCCCCAGAGCTCACTCACCGTGTCGACGGAGAAGAGGAGCCCCTGGGAGGTCTGCAGGGCAGGAACATGGATGTCAACGGAGGCTTTGAGGGTGACGGTGGCTCTTCCATCCCTCACGGCCACCACTGGCTCATCTCTCACCCGGACACGCAGCTCCAGTGGCAGAGAGCCAGGGAGGGACCGGGCAAGCTGCAGGGGCAGAGAAGGTCAGGGCAAGGGGGTATTTGCATGGCTGGGGTGGGTGGAGGGGTTGGAATCAATGCACACGGAGGAGGTGGCTGACCTGGGGGATGAACGGGAAAAGGGCAGACACGGACAGCGAGGTGCTCTCGGGAACCTGTGGGAACAGCACCAGTGACATCGTTGGCCGGGAGGGTTTGTGCCAAGCCCACACTGGGCACAGCTGAACCCCACAAACACAAACAGGCAGCAGCGAGCACATTTGGGTCACCCAAGAGCAACGAGGACACTGACCTGGCCTTGGAGAGGGGATTGGCTGCTCATCAACGAGTTGGTGATGCTGAGGTTGAGGGCTCCCTGCCCCTGGACCTGCTCCAGCAGGGTGCTGAGGGTGTCCTGGGAGAGGCTGAGCTGTGGTGGGCGGCCAGTGGCCAGCAGCAGGGTGGCGGCGAGTGGCAGTTGCTGAGTGGGGGCCACTGTGCCACCCTTGGCATTCCCGGAGAGGAGCTGTATGGGACAGAGTGGACGGGGATGTTGGTGGTGCTCAGAGGGTTGCACTGGGCACCCTGCCCACCTATGGACCTTGAGGAGAGGCTCACACAGGGTTTGTTGGCACTTTAATGAACACAGGGCTGCTCCAGGCTGCTCTGGCACAGACAAGGCTGCATCTGCTACCCCTTCCCCATTAAAATGCTGCCATTTCTCCCAACTGGAAAAACACACTGCTGATATTTTGGGCCTGATTACGGTCCCTATCAATTTCCAGACTTTGACAAACCACTTATAAATAGAACACGCCTGTGAGCAGTGACTGCTGCTCCTGCATGAAATTAAACTTTTCTAATTAACAACTATGAGAGTGCTACAATTATGTTTAACTAATAGCTAAGTAGCATGAAGCCGTTCTGGCTCATGCCACCATCAAGGATTAACAGGTAAAAAAAATCAGGTAGAGACACAGCAGTGGCATAAGCAGGGATGTGGCTGGGGCAGACTCATCAGACCCTTCCAAAGAACATGTGCCTGAAGGCAGCTGGAATCCAAGGAGCCTTTGACAAACAGCCATCACGTTCCAGTGAACCACCCAAACTCACCACATCAGAGGTTTTGGGACCAGGGAATACGGTGGCACTTACATTCAGATCCAGCTGGATGGAGTCACCACTGAGGATGGAGAAGGGGGGCAGATCCCCCAGAGCCCCAAGTGGGAGCATCTCTGTGGATACAGGGAAGAAAACTCTTCAGTTGCAATGGCAGGGGGTGCTCCCAAATCCCATGGTCCCAAGAGTTATTGGAACCAATGGCAGTTCTTGCTCACTGAGTTCCCAGCTGGAAAAGCTGCTAGAAAACTCTATTTAGTAGCAAAAAAATGTTGTTTTAGAAGCAACAGTTCCTGCAGTGGGTTTCTGCAGGAAGAGCTGGCTGCTGCTGCAGGGGTAGGGAATCTTAATGCTGGGCTTGACCTGAGTTGTGTTTTTAGAAAATTGCTAAAATATGTGTATTTACCCAGTGTAAAAAAACAAGCCATGGGCAGAGGGAAAGGAGGTGCCAGCACTTACGGTTCCTGGAGCCAAGCAAAGAGTTCACCACGTTGAGCTTGGCATTGATGATGTTGCAGCCCTGGGGAGGAAGAGGGAAGTGAGAGGGTCCTGTTGCAGCAGTGGGTGACATGGCACCAACAGTGACAGCAGGCTCTGCTGGGCTGCACACGTGGGCAGAGCCACTGTGGGCAGTGCTGGGTGGGACATCCTGTCACACAGAGCTCAGCATCGGGTGGGTGAGTGGCCCCTCTGGCCCAGCGTGGGTCTCACCTGGGTTGGTGGCTGCTAAGCCAGCACCTGCCTCAGAAATCTGTTTGCCAGCAGAGCCTGGCACAGATGATGGTGCTGGTGTCTTTCAGCAGGGAGGACAGGCTGACCGCCCCAGCTGAGCCCACAGCTGTGCAAACAGCCACATCCATGGGGCAGCCTGGCCCACTGCCTGCCCTGCCTGCACTGCCCACGCTGCCTGTGCTGCCTGTTCTGCCTGCCCACCCAGCACTGTGCTGGTGGCTGGTGTGAAGATGGCTGTGCAGACTCACCAGATCACTCAGGACATCACTAAGGAGGCGTTTCAAAGGCTCATCCAGAATTGGCACTCTGGGACTGGTAGCAAGAAAATAGGAATTAACAACTGACTTAGGTTAGTACTGGAAAGTAGAAGTGTTTCACACAAGAGAAACATGAGGGCTCACTTGAATTGTACATATTCAGAGTCAAAATATTACCAAACCCGAGCCCTCTGAATTCCACCCAGGGCTAGGTTCCCAGCACCCCAAAATGGTTTTTTCTTAGCCAAAATTTTAAAAAAAGGATGGCAGTTTCCCTCCAAGCCTTTCAGCCGGGTAGTTCACCCTCCAAGGTGTCAGACAGGAAAGCGCTGCCATCGATGGCACCGAGGTGTCCCACTGCCACAGGAGCCACGGGCAGCCCACTCACAGAGGTGTTACCTCACACCTGATTCCTACCTCACATGGGTGTCTATGTCAACAGTCTTGCAGTTCATGTTGCTCTGGTGAGCCGTCCACGTGTCCTGGACCAGCATGGTCACATCCACCTCCACCTGCTCGCAGAGCGGCTGGCCCGGCACACTGCCCGGGGGGAGCACAGCATGCAGGTCAGGAAATTTGCTGACCATCTATTTTCCAAAGAGATGATGACCGACCCCCCCCGAGCCATACCCCAGATGGACATGCCCTACCTGCTCTCTACCAGCAGCTGGGTGTTGAAGTCCACCTGGTGGCCAAAGCCTGGCAGGGAGTGCAGACTTATTTTGGGGAGGGTGTTGTTCACAATTCTCAGCCTGGATGGTTGAAATGAGGAAAAGGCAATGAAGAGCACATTTGTGCAGTGGGTGCCCTGTCCCCTCAGCCCCCAGCACTGTGGCCAATTTTAGACCCATGCTCTTGGGGTCCTCTCCACCCTGGGTCATCAGGGATCCCCAGCAGCCAGGAGCAGCATGTAGCCCATACAAGGCACCCTGGCATGGCAGGCACAGGCAGAAACTCCCAACAGATGAACCTCCACTTATAAACCTGCCCCATGAGGGGAAAGAGGGGGCCCTGTGTGTGCAGACAGCAGGCTCCAGACTAGAGCCTCCTTTCCCAAGGATGGCCCAGACACACTGGGCTGCTCAGGGCCACTCATCTCCCACTCTCACTCACCCCATGAGTTCTTCACCATTTCTCCCAAGAAGGCTGCCAACGAGACCATTTTTGCCGAGGAGACCATTTTTGCCAATGAGAAGCTCGAGGACAGTATCAAGGAGAGTATCAACAAGACCGTCTTTGCCAAGGAGACCATCAACGACACCATCTTCACCAAGGATACCACCAAGGACACCATCCCTGTCAAGGAGACCCCCAAGCAGACCATCTCCACCAAGGAGACCACCTAGGAGACCATCTTCACCAAGGAGACCACCTCCACCAAGGAGACCACCAAGGAGACCATCTCCACCAAGGAGACCACCAACAGCACCATCTCCACCAAGGAGACCCCCAAGGAGACCGTCCCCACCAAGGAGACCCCCAACAGCTCCATCTTGGCCAAGGAGACCTCCAACAACTCCTTCTTTTCCAAGGAGACTGCCTACGGCACCACCTTTTCCAAGGAGACTGCCAACAGCACTGTCTTTGCCAAGGAGACCTCTAACAACTCCTTCTTTTCCAAGGAGACTGCCTACGGCACCACCTTTTCCAAGGAGACCACCAAGCAGATTGCCACCAAGGAGACCACCTTGAGGTTTCTGGGGAACACCTCTGGCTGATGAACCTTTAAAACCTGAAAAATAGGGTGGGAGGTCACTGTGAGCTATGTGGACTCAGCACACAAGTTGTGCCAGCCTGGCTGTTCCTTCCCCTCCACTGTCCTTCTTCATGTAAATGACGTGGTGGCACCAACCACTGTGAAGTATCTGAAGAAACATCTGCAAAGTGCTTTATAAATGCAAATTACCAGCATTGCCACTACTGCTGAGTGGATCTGGACCAGCTTCTGATTTTCTGAGCATGATCAAGAGACAAAAAGAGACAAAGAAAGGATAAATCCTGTCTCTTACATACACTTACCATCTGTATCTCCTCTGGCAACCAAGGGTATGAGTCCAAATCCTTGTGAAGGGGCCAGCAGACTGCTGAGGAGGACAACAGTCCAGAATGCCAACATCTTCGGTCCTGATAACTGTGGGGAGTGATTGCCATCAGTGCAGGGCTGGGAGAGTGAGCACCAGCCCATGGCGGGAGGAAAGAGGAGGAGGAAAGATTGTAAAAAGCAGAAAATAATTTTTAAAGTTTCAGTGTCATTGAAATGTTTCTGTGTGACCTAAAACTTGAAGTAGCTTTTTCTTCTTTTTTTTTTTCAAAGAACCAAAAAGAACTTCATTGCCCCAAATCTATTTAAATGTAAATAGCTCATCAGAAAGGGATCAAAACAAGTGTGAGAGGTCTAATTCCCCTTAGCTAGAAATCTATTTCAGATAATAGAGTTATACCAAAGATAATTTAAGTGATAATTGTTTATGAAAACCCTGAAATACCCTTTCTTCTGCAAGGACTGCAAATCCAGTGAACACTCACATCTGTTCTTGAGAGACTCACAGTGAAAGGCGCTGCACATTTTACTTGCTGGAGCATAATTCAAGCAGGTAGGAGGCAAGAATAACAATTTTTGCTAAAAAGCAACACTCTCAAAGGAACATTGAGGGTTTGCAGGAGCAAGGAGCACACTCTTTGAGGAGTAAGTTTGCTCTTACCTGACCAAGCTCTGGAGGACGAGGTTCTCTCCAGCCTATGTCCCTGCCTTCTGAGGATGACCTGCATCAAGGATTGTCATATATAGAGCTTCACAACAGGAAAAGGGCAAGTGATATCATTTAGGACATACAGAATAATTGGTGGGGAGCAAAACAAACAATATTTGGTTTCTGGTGACTTCCACTGCAAATATTTCCATGGAGATGTTAGGAGTTAGGTAAATCATTGAGCAATGATCTGTAGGCACAGACTCAGTCAGTTCTGGGTGCCTGGTTTGGTACATCATCCTTTCAGCCTGTCAAGGTGTGGACATGGCTGAGATGTCACGCCCTGATAAAATATCTTCTTTTTTTTTTTTAATAAAATTGAGATTTTGACTAAAAAACGGTGTCAAAACACTGGCCACTTCTTCTTGTTAAGTACTTCTGCAGGTTTTGGGGCTGCAGTACTGAGCATTAAGCCCACGAGTGGGGATGTGCCACATATTATGGGTGATAAATGAAGGACCAGGCAGCACCTTTCTCAATGTAAAGACAAGTAGAGATAGTAACACAGACAGGTGTTTGCTGTCCAGGCCAGCAGGACATGCCCAGCACTCCCATTAAACTTGCCTCCAGCCTGTCACTGAACCCAACATTTATTAAAACCAACAGCCCCTGTCCAGGGACTGGAATGGCTCATGATCCCTTTGATAACTGAAGAAAAGGGGTTATTGAATCGGGAAGGAATAGTGACACCATGACAAGGTGCATTGATCAGGTGTCATGGCCTAGCAGACACCCTGAGCTGACAGACTCTTCGGAGACTGGAAAATGCTGCCCTGTTCTAACTGGCATGGCATTGCTTCCAGGTCCATCACTTCTTCTCAGGGCACTACAGAGGACTGGAGCTGGGATGTTTTCATGGGTTGAGAGGCTGATGACATTGCCCACAAAGCCAGGGAACTCCCAGGCCAGAGCTGGCTGATCTGGGGTCTTTCTGAAGTCCTGGAAGGATTGTTGACCCCTGTGTGGGCGCACCAAGAGAGGCACCTCCCTACCACACCACCCCTTGCAACTGATGTCCTGCAGCTGCCCAGGGTCTTCTGCCTCCTCCCCACAGCTCTCTTCAGTCCCCTGCCCTGATTGCTGCCCAGGATACACAGAGCCACTGCACCAGAGCAGCAGCTCTTTGGGGCAAGTAAAAGAAACTTTCCCCTGGGGACCCAAGACCAAATGTGGTCTCCCTGTGTGGGGCACATTCCGACCTGCACAGCAAAAGCTGTGTGTGCTGGAGGGACAACGCACTGGCCAAAGGGGACAGAGGTGAACTGTTCACTCCCCAGTGCCCTCACTGACGACAGGGGTGGATGGGAATGGCTGCTCCCAGCTCCAATGAAAACAATCCAGAAAAACGCGTGCTCAGAGTTAATACTTTCTGCAAACTTGGAAATAAATATTTCCAGCAGATTAGCCAGCTTTCGTCACACATTATTACCAGCTTTAAAAAAATACCTTAAATAAAAATACCTTGGCTGCTTAAAGGCCAAGGAAGGGGTGGCAAAGGTGTCAAAACACTGAAGGAGTTGTCACTCTCCTTGCAACCTGATCAGCCAGGAGCACAAAGCCCCATGACATGGCAAGATCATGACATCTGATAAGATGGAAGAGAGCATTAATGAGGTGGTATTATGTTATCATCCATCATGAATCACTTTATGCTCTGGGCAACCACTGTCCGAAACCTGAATTATCATAAAGACAGCCTTGATACTGGTCAGTGCACAGGGAAGGGGCAGGGTGGCATCACCGGGAATAGCTCCTGTGCAGTGACCTTTCAGGCACAACAGTAACTTGGCCTCTCCCCAGCAGCTGCTGAATGAAGAGGTCTCTGACCACTCACTATTTTGGAGAACCCGAGGTGGATTCCAACAAAGACAATGACATGCTGATGTCCAGGTCTCGCTAAAGTGACTTTCAAAGCCCCAAGGACACAAAGCCAAATCACTGAGTGAGGACAGAAACATGGAGTAAACCAGAACGGATTTGGTCAAAGGGAGAAGAATAGGAGTGATGTGAACAGACAGGTTCACATCAGTTCTCCCTGCTTGGATCACCTGCAATGGAGAGGTCAGGCAAACAGTAAGGGGCACGTAACCCCCAGAAGCATCCAAAACCTTGACATTAGCAGGAGGTCAGCAAGCTCTGACCAGGACAGGCTGAGTGAAATGTCTTAGCCATGGCTAGAAAATGAGATGGATCTGCTGTGCTCTCCCATTGATGGCATCGTTCCAACATGGTCTCTCTGCCCTAGGAAACAGCCTCTGTGGGGATCTGTGAGCCAGCACAAGCTGGGTTTGCCCTGTCATCCCTCTGGGACCACTGAGGTACATCCCTGATGCTGCAGGATCAGGGCTGCTGGGTCTGTGTAGGGCTCCAGGGGACAGCACTGGATAAGGCTGCACCTCCAGTAAGTGCTGCAGGGCACCAAATACCAGTTACGTGATAGTGGAGTTGTTCCATGAAAAATTAACTAGGTACCCGCCAAGATTCTCAGCCTTAATTTCCCTAGGAGGGCTGTGTACAGATATTTGGATTCATTTTTTGTTCTTCTCAAGGGAGTTGAGACTCAATCTGTTCAACTGTCTCTTGGCTAATGCAAGAACAATTAGGGAAATCTCTCTAAAATATGCACTGGGCGCTGCCCATGTTTGCAGCAACATGAAGAGAGGCACCATAAACTCCAGTTTTCATGGGGAGCTGGTTTTACAGCTCCTTCCTCACTTCTGAGGACTCCCAAGGAGAATGATTCCTTACACATGGTGCAGAACAAATCCCCGTGGGTCTGGCAGCGCACAGAGAGAGCAGACAGGATTCTCAGAGCCTGCCTACCCAGAGGGTTTTTGTCAGGGCAATTTCTTAAAAATACAATTTCTTAAAAATTTCCAAAGGCATCCTCAATTCCACACCGGCTCCCTATCACTAGGAAAAGGTGTTCAAATCCTGTCAGCTCGATGAAAGCAGGATCGAAGCTGTTTATTGACTTACTAATGACAAGGAATTATCCAGCAGTCAGTGAGCTATAGGCTCGGGATCAATATCTGCGAAGCAGCTGATAAACCCTGACACCAGCCCGAATCTAACTCATTCTGTGAGTCCTGGCTTGTTCTGAGGTCCTTAATCCCCACACACAACTGCAGACACACTCCCCACCCCTCACAGCACATGCACCCTGCAGAGCAGGGGGTCCCCTTCTTGTGCCTCCCTCCTCCAGGAGGTCAGGACATTGCATCCTGATGATGCAAATGTGGTTTGTTTAGAGATCAGTTCTTTCAGGACACGTGGCCTCTGCCCAGCCATGCCCAGCTGGTTCTGACAGTGCACGAGGACAGCCTCACCAAGGAGTGACGGGGTCTTTTTGTTTCAACTTGTGGATTCAAACTATTGAAAAGCCAAGGAAAGAGGAAGAAGCACCCTGGGAAGCCCAGCACGCTGCTGCTCCCTCACCCACCCATCCCCACCGGGTCCTGGCCACAGCGTGGGTCACAGCCACACGTCCCCATCCCTCAGGTCTCTGCGACAGGCACGTCCAGCACCAGCACGTTCTGTGGATTTAACAACAAAAAAGCACCTGGGTGGGATTTAACAGGTGCTTCTGTGCTCAGGTGTGATGGACTAATGGCACAAAGCCCAGGGGTGACCCAGGGGACAGCAAAGCCACCACAGTGGTGTCCCTACCTCGCCCCTGCTGATATTTGCCTGCTGGTAGGTGTGTGAGTGCTATAGAAATCCACCTGCAGACTGAAAGATCCAGCAGTGCTGTTACCTGCCCCTTAGGAATTGTCAGTCCTGGCACACCAGTGATGTGTCCTTTGGGACGTACCTGCTGGGGAGGTTGGCTCTAATGCTGATGAGGGTGATGTGGCAGTTCCTGGGGCTGAACCAGGGGGTGTCTGTGGTGTCCTGCCCCAGCCCTCTGGCCATCAGGTTTGCAGCCAGAGCAATTTCCATGTCTCCTCCTATAAAGTTGCTCAGAGAAAAGCTTGGTCAGCACAGGACAAACCCAGGGAGTGAACAAGTCCCCCAGCCCTGCTGGCACCAGCTTTCACTCACCTTTTCCCGGTCCTGGTCATTTGGACTAAGACAGCCATGAAGAGCCCTGAGCCTGGGGAGAGCACCACTGAGATCACCGGGGGACAGAAACCTTTCACCTCCAGCCTGTGGGAAAAACAGAGGAGAAGAGCTGGGAAAAGGGAGCTGTCAGAGCCTTATGCCTGGGCTTAGATGCTTACAGCAAAGTGACATCTCACTGATATTATCACCTCTTCTCTTCCCCTTCTTGTTTAAACTTTCCGTTTAAAACTACTTTTAAATTTCAAAACAAGTTTCTTCCCAGCAAAAAGGCCACAAAGTTCAGTTTGGAAAAAAAAAACAGAAAAAAGATGTT